GCATAGGCAGCGGCCACCATCGACAACCATCGAGAACCAACGCAGACGCCGGCCAGGTGCGTGAAGCCCGCGGGGTGCGCGGCACATGCCAGGTGCGCCACGCGCACCAGGCTCGCCACATTGGGCAATGAACCGACCCCCCACCACCATCCCTGTCAAAAACAATGCAAAGTGACGGCGGGCTTGCGAGTATTGCCTATTGCGTGCGGACGTGCACCCGCAATCACGCTGCACTTGTTTTTGACAGGGATGGTGGTCCCGACACGGCAGGCAGTATGCCGCGCCCCCCCCTCCCCCGTCGCCCCTGGCAAAATAATTTGTTGTATTGTTGTTGCTGTTGGTGTTCTTATTCTTGTTGATGAACTCTCACTATTGAAGAATAATTATTGTTGATCGCGCCCTCTGGTGACCTTTGCGTTTTTTCAATTGAAGTGCTTCTCCCGGGGCTCGCACCTTGTTCTTTATCAGGGAAAGTCACTAGAGTCAAACTGTGTTGTTGGCCCCCAAATTACGACAACAATGGCTCCCATCTGAGACTTCCTCACAACTTAGCCAGGACCCCCGCTGCCGCCGGAGACTTCCTCGCAGTTTACTCAGGAATCGCGCTCGCGTTTGGGACTTCCTTGCAATCTATTCACACCCCCCACAGGGGCACGATCGAAGACGAAGAGGGCGGGTATCGAGGGTTTGGGAAATACGCGTTGACCGATACTCGAGCAGATAAGAGCGAACAGTCTCACAATGATTGTGGTTGTTATTGTCCTTGGTATTGTTAGTGTTGTTGCCGTTGCGGTCGTTGTCGTTGTGGTTGTCGTTGTAGTTGTTGTTGCGGTTGTGGTGGTGATGGCGGTGGTGGTGTTGGTTGTGCTCATACTTGTGGTGGTTGTTGTTGTTGTTGCTGCTGTGGTTGTTATTGTTGTTGTTGGTGTTGTTGTTGTTGTTGTTGTTGTTGTTGTTGTTGTTGTTGTTGCTGTTGCGAGGGATGCAGGGCGTGCACACAGCAGCAGGCAATATGCCAGCTCCCCGCCGCCCCTGTCGAGAGCCGTCATCGCGGAGGAGGAGGAGAAGGAGGAGGAGGAGGAGGAGGAGGAGGAGGAGGGAGGAGGAGGAGGAGGAGGAGGGGAGAGGAGGAGGAGGAGGAGGGGAGGAGGGAGGGGGAGGCGGAGGAGGAGGAGGAGGGGAGGAGGGAGGGGGAGGAGGGGGAGAGGAGGGGGAGGAGGAGGAGATGAGGAGGAGGAGGAGGGAGGAGGAGGAGGAGCAGGAGCAGGAGCAGGAGCAGGAGGAGGGAGAGAGAGGAGGAGGGGGAGGAGGAGCAGGAGCAGGAGGAGGAGGGGGAGGAGGGGGAGCAGGAGAGGGAGGAGGGGGAGAAGGAGACGGAGGAGGAGGAAGAGGAGGAGGAGGAGAAGGAGGAGGAGGAGGAGCAGGAGGAGGAGGTGGCGGAGGACGGAGGAAAAGGAGGAGGACGGAGGAGGAGGCCTCTCCCTGGCCTTGGATCGTGTGTGTATGTGTGTGTTTGGGCATTGCACACGGCAGGCATTGGCGCCCCCGCTGTTTTGAGAAATCCGAAAAATAAGCAAACGCCACATACATAAACTTGTGGCGCTCCGCGTGGACTTCTTGGATCCAGCGGCGCCTCCGGCGCCGCCCCTGGCGCGTTCAGCGCAGATCCAAGAAATCCGCGCGGAGCGCCAACAGTTTATGTTGATGGCGTTTGTTCCTCTGTCAACAATCAAGGCAAAGTGATCGCGGGGCGTCCGCGCATGATCCAGATTTTGGTGCAACGTGCACTGTGTTTTTCAGAAGAGATTGCGGGGGGGTCGTCGGCATTGGCCCGAGTATATCACCGCTCGGGTGGGGGAGGGGGCGTATATTAAGTGGGAGCAGTGCCAAACGCCTCCCCGAAGGGGAAGACGGGGGTTGGAAGAGGAAACTTTCTAAACCACCTACGTCTTGAATGGCTGGTGGGATGGACGATCTACGTAACCCTTCTCGGCGACCACCCTGGTTTTTTGATTGGTTACAATAGATTTGTTTCTTGAGTTCGAAAAGGCAGATTTTTGAATTCAATAAACCGGGTTTTGAACTCAGAAAACCAATTCTTTGAATTCAAGAGACCCAACAAACAAAGAGCAGTGGAGGGGTAAGGAGAGGGGCACCCCCCCTCCCTGAAGGGGAAGGTGGGGGGGATGCAAAAACAAGCACGCGAAACCATCGCAGCCCCGATGGCTGATAGGATTGCGAATGCCTGACGGCCGGTGCCGTCGACCCTGAACGACATCGACGACGACCAGGAGGGGGAGGAGGAGGAGAAGGAGGAGGAGGAGGCGGAGACAAGGAGGAGGAGGAGGAGAAGGAGGAGGAACTGGACTCCCCCTGGGACACGAAGCCCCGATGGCTGGTAGGATTTATCAGGGGTCGTTGCTATGGTTAAGTCGGGCTTGTCCCTCTACAGGAGGAACATTCAAACATAGTCAAAGCATAGTCTGGGGATTATTTGTTTTGCATTTTGTTGACTATTTGGGGGCATGTTTTGAATATTTTTATTTTTCGTCGACGCCCGACTTCATGCTATGGGAGCGCTGGTGCTTCGTGCGCCACCTGTTGCCGCCTCATGTGTGCATAAAGTCAGGAAAGGAGGAGGAGGAGGAGGAGGAGGAGGAGGAGGAGGAGGAGGAGGAGGAGGAGGAGGACGAGGAGGAGGAGGACGAGGACGAGGAGGACGAGGAGGAATGACGCAACAGGTCCCGCCTCACGTCTACCTAAAATGAATCATGGACGAGGAGGAGAAGGGGGAGGAATGAGGCAACAGGTCCCGCCTCATGTGTGCCTAAAGTCTGGAAGGGAGGAGGAGGAAGAGGAGGAGGAGGAGGCGGAGCAGGAGGAGGAGGAGGACCAGTGGAAGCCCGAAAGTCATCAACGATGGTGGAATTAACCCTTCCTCCAAGCTCCCTCTTCATGGGCCTCTACAGCGGTTCATTTCCATTGAGGGAACTGCCTCGCTGGATGACACCAGTTTGAAGATCCTGAAGCTTGCCAAAACATTGTTCTCGGGATTTCAACGCCACGTATCAACCTGACTGCTGCGTCTTGACGATCCAGAATCGTGCCAGAACGCAATTGTTTAAGACTTGAACACGCCGAATCAACATAACTGCTGCGCCCGCATAATCCTGAACCCTTCCGAAACACCACTGCTGGTACGCTGATCATGGGAATCCGTGAAACTCTTTGTACATGTTATAAACGAATGTGCGCGGCTCTAAGGCGAGAGCCACATTTTGAAAAGGAAACGCCCTCAATCCGTGAAGCTTCTGCCATTGTTTAAACGAATGTGCGCGGCGCTAAGGCGAGACCCACTTTTTGAAATCGACCCGCCCTCAATCCGACTGGCTCTTGCAAATTGTTAAAACGAATGTGCACGGCGCTAAGGCGAGAGCCACATTTCGAAAGCCACCCGCTTTCGATCCGTGAAACTGTTGGCAATGTTTAATCGACTGTGCGCGGCGCTAAGGCGAGAGCCACATTTCGAAAGCCACCCGCTTTCGATCCGTGAAACTGTTGGCAATGTTTAAAACGAATGTGCGCGGCGCAGAGGCGAGAGCCACATTCTGAAAACGACCCGCCCTCGATCCGTGAAGCACTTGCGAATGTTTAAATCGAATGTGCGCGGCGCTAAGTCGAGAGCCACATTTTGTAAACGACCCGCCCTCCATCTGTGAAGCTGTTGCCACTTAAAGCTTCAGAGTCATAAATGGTAAGGAAGTCTCAGGCGAAACGCCCGGCCCGCCCTAAAAACTGGCTTCGGGGTGCGACAGGGAGGAGGAGAAGGAATGGAGGAGGAGGAGGAGGAATGACGCAACAGGTCCCGCCTCATGTTTGCCTCAAGTCACACTACGGAGGAGGGGGAGGAGGAGGAGGAAGTGGAGGAGAAGGAGGAGGAAGAAGCAGAGGAGGAGGAGGAGGAATGACGCAACAGGTCCCGCCTCATGTTCCCTACCTAGGCTCTGCCTAGAAGGGTTCTTACTCGGTATGCTTAAAGTGCCGGGCAGTGGAACGCGCCCCGGGCGGTTCCCCCAGTATCCGCCCCGCGGTTCCCCCAGCTACGTTCCCTTAGCTTAGCGTTGCATATCTCATCTTAGCTTAGTTTATTTCATCTTAGCTTAGCTTAGCTTCATCTTAGCTCAGGTTTATCTTAGCTTAGCTTACCTTCAGCTTCGCTGAGCTTTAGCATAGCAGAGCACAGCTTAGCTTAGCTTAGCATAGCGCAGCGCTGCATTAGCATAGCATAGCATAGCATAACATAGCCACTCATAGCATACCATATCATAGCATACCATAGCGCAGCATAGCATAGCATATCATAGCATAGCATAGCGTAGCGCAGCTTAACACAGCATAGCATAGCATAACTTAGCATAGCACAGCACATCATGACATAGTATAGCATATCGTAGCATCGCATAACATAGCATAGCATAGCATGCCATATCATAGCGCAGCATAGCATAGCATAGCATAGCATATCATATCATATCATAGCGCAGCATATCATAGCATAGCATATCATAGCATATCATATAATATCATAGCATAGCATAACATACCATAGCATAGCATAACAACTAATGCTGCTTTCCTAGGGGCTCCAACTTCTAGGTAGTGTCGCACTGGGGTCATTTTGTTAAAACCATTAAAGGATGAGGAGGAGAAGGAGGAGGAGGAGGTGGAGGAGGAGGAGGAGGAGGAGTTGGAATGACGCAACAGGTCCCGCGTCATGTGCGCCTAAACTCAAAACATGGAGGAGGAGGAGGAGGAGGAGGAGGAATGACGCAACAGGTCCCGTCTCATGGTTGCCCAGAGTCAGGAAAGGAGGAGGAGCAGGAGGAGCAGGAGGAGCAGGAGGAGGAGGAGGAGGAGGAGGAGGACGAGGAGCACGCGGCCCGCGACTGCCTGCCCTCGGCGAGCCCGGCGTGCCCCTGATGGCGCGCGCGCGCGGGGAGGACGCTCCCCTGGGCCACGCCGCGTTCTACCGCGCGGCCCGCGAGTTCCTCGGCGAGACGGAGCAGGCTGGGAGCCGAAGGGCCCTGAGGTCCGAGCCTTGCAAGTCGCCACGCGGGGCGTTGTCGTCTGGTTTCGGGCCCCTGGGCCGTCTCAGATCGATCTGGCCCGGAACATGTCGCGCAAAGATGGCGTCTCGCAGGGCTCTGGTCTCGATGTGTCGCGATGTTGTTACCTCGCCGCAAGGTCGCATCGCAGTGGAGGAGGGAGGAGGAGAAGGAGGAGGAGGAGAAGGAGGAGGATGAGAAGGAGGAGGAGGAGGAGAGGACAGGAGGAGGAGGAGGAGGAGGAGGAGGAGGTCGGAGGAGAGGAGGGAGGAGGAGGAGGAAAAAGGAGGAGGAGGAGGAGAAGGAGCAGGAGGACAGGGAGGAGGACGAGAAGGAGGATGAGAAGGAGGAGGAGGAGGAGGAGGAGCAGGAGGAGGATGAGAAGGAGGAGGAGGAGCAGAAGTAGGAGGAGGAGGATCAGGAATAGCAGGAGGAGCAGGAGAAGCAGGAGAAGGAAGAGCCGCTAGACCCGTTCCTGGACCTGGAACTTGCCCCCTTCGCTTGACGGCGGCCGCCCATGAGGAGTGCCTCCTAACGCGCTGCTCCTACTTTCCCCCTGCTGCTTCATGTGTTCTTCCTTGCTGGGCAAGACTGCGGATTTCCAGATAGCCTTCATCGACAGACCGAGCGACCGACCGACCGACCGAGGAGGAGGATGAGGAGGGGGAGGAGGAGGAGGAGGAAAAGGAGGAGGAGGAGGAGGAGGAGGAGGAGGAGGAGGAGGAGGGCTGCCTTGTCGCTCGTACCCATGCGGGCTGCCGCCCTTCGCCTGGGTGCTTGAATCAACGCTCCCAATGGGCGCGCCCGTTCATTGGTGCTGTCGAGACAGCTGTCCCACACGCTTCGGCCCATTGGTCATGAGGAGAACTGGTGCCAGGATCGCGGGCACGACAGGATGAGGAGGGCGGGATGAAGGGGGAGGGAGGGAGGGAGGGAGGGAGGGAGGAGCGAGGGAAGGGGGAGCAAAGAGGGAAGAGGGAGGACGAGCGAATGCAGAGAGGAAGAGGGAGGTCCAGCGAAGAGGGGGGGGAAGGGGGAGAGAGGGAGGAAAGAGAGAAGGGGGAATGGGGGAGGACCGGCGAATGCAGATGCATGGGGATATCACGGGCCGCGACGCACCGAGATATGAAAAGTTGGCGTGTGCCTGATTGGGACCGCCCGGGCGCGCGCACAGGTGGAATTTTCAGGCGGCGAGGTGGAATTTTCAGACGCCTGCCCCAGTTTTGGCCGACCCACGTGGTCTGGGCGATGGCCAGAGGTATGGTATCGCTGCCAGTGCAGGTGGAGGAGGAGGAGGGGGAGGGGGAGGAGGAGGAGGAGGAGGAGGAGGAGGAGGAGGAGGAGGAGGAGGAGGAGGAGGAGGAGGAGGAGTAGGAGGAGGAGGAGGAGGAGGAGGAGGAGGAGAGTCGAGGATGAACGGGACGAGTGCACCCCACGAGAGGGCCTCGACCTCGCCCGGATGGTACTCGAGGCCAGGGGGGGAGGCCGCCACATGAAGTGGCGCGAGGTTCGTGCGGAGCCACGGCGTCTGCGCGGAGCACGCCGAGCGGTCCGAGTTCCTTCCCAAAAATCCAGCGCATTGACAAAAATCAAGACGGAGGTTTTGTGCTATTGTCGGCCCTCGGTGGCCTTCGCCGGGCCTCGGGACCGTCAAAAAACGGCTCGGGATGATGAAGAACCGGCCCTGGGGAAAGGGTCGGGACTTCCTGGGACCCCGTAAGGAAAAAATCACGACATCGAATCTCTGGATCTTTGGGTACCTTTTCCTGCACATCATCTTCGGCACCGCCTGATCCCAGGGCTTCGCCCTCTCCCGGCCGCGTGAGGCCCCGCCTTCTTCCGCCCTTTCTCTGCTAATCAAAGCCGTGCGCGTCCCGCTTAGCCTTCAGCGGAAGAGGTTCGCTCTCTCCCCGCAGATCAAAACAAGGTGCAGCGAAGTCTCCTGGGAGAACTGGCCCTGGGGAAAGGGTCGGGACTTCCCAGGCCCCCGTATGGAAAAAAACACGACATCGGATCTCTTCGTCCCCAGACCCCCGACGTAATGATTTTTCATTACGTCGACCCCCAGAGGTCCCGACCCTTTCCCCATGACCGGCTTTGCATCCCGAGTCGTTTTTTGACGCTCCCGAGGCCCGGTGAGGGCCTCCGGAGGCCGAAAATTAGGGAAAACCTCCCGTCATGATTTTTTCATTACTCGAGGGGGTCTGCGTCTGTTGCACGTGCAGCGACGCCTCCCGCACCTTGCCGCAGGGGCGCGGCTGCGAGCAGCGCCTCGTGCTCGCCGCGCCGCGCCGCCAGTCCCGGCCCGCCGCGCCCCGGCGCCACGCGCCAGCCACCTCCTGGCCCCCAGGGCGTCGGAGGAGGGAGGAGGGAGGGAGGAGGGAGGAGGGAGGGAGGGAGGAGGGAGGAGGGAGAGGAGGAGGGAAGGGAGGGAGGAGGATGAGGAGGGAGGAAGGGAGGGAGGAGGAGGGAGAGGGAGGAGGAGGAGGAGGAGGAGGAGGAGGAGGAGGAGAGCGAGGAGGAGGAGGGAGGAGGGAGCAGGGAGGAGAAGGAGGAGGGGAAGAGGAAGGGGCTCGCGGGGCACGGCCGGGCGCGCCGCGCGGCAGCTCCGCACCGCGGGCGGCCTCGCCGCCGGCCAGCCCGCACCCCGGGCGCGCCGGCCGCGGGGGACGACCGCCGCGGCCGGGGCCATGGCCACCGTGGCCCTGCAGGGCTGGCCAACGCCGCGCCCACTGCCACGACTCTCTCTCTCTCTCTCTCTCTCTGGCCTCTCGTCCCTGAGATCCTGGCGACGCAATTTTTCGGAGCCGAGCGGTCTCGCCTTTTCTCGGGCCCCGGGGCCCTCACAGATCGATCCGGCTCGAAACATGGCGCAGAAAGATGGGGTCGGGGGCTCCGCTGCGTCGGGTCTCAGGGGTTGTGCTCGCCAGCTGGCGCTGCCTGCCTGCTCGCCGTCCTGCGCAGCGCCCGCCTCCGCGCCCGGAAGGTCGCGGCGGGAAGGCCCGTCGGCCCAGCCGACCACGGCTGCCACGACGTGGGGAGGCCACCATCACGGCCACCACCACGACCCGGCAGCGACGGCGACCACCACCGCCCGCCATCGCCGGCCGCGGAGCGCGATCCCGCTCAGTGGCTCCTCCAGGTGGCAGCCATCGGCGCCGTGCCAGCACCGTGGGAGGGGGAGCGGCGGGCGTGCCGCGAGAGGCGTCGGGGTGGGGGCCGGGGAGGAGAGCCCCTGGCTCGGCATCCTGCAGCGCGTCGCCGAGCGGGTCCACGACGGCCCGCCCAAGGTGCGACCACGGCCTCTGCGACTCCCTGGCCGGCGTCTGCCGAGAGGCCAGGGTCACTTCGCCCGAGGTAGCCACGCTTCTCGACGGCGCGCCCGTCCGCTCCCTCTAACCTCGTGGAGCCATGAGGGGCCCCCCCGCCCCCCTTCTGGTGAAACGATACTGCATCCAGCACCTGGAAACATTATCCTGGCACCCTGAGGAGGAGGAGGAGGACGAGGAGGAGGAGGAGGAGGAGGAGGAGGAAGAAGAGGATCTTCGGCCTTCAATGCCCTTGCGCTCTGACGGTCAATCCCTACGAGTTCTAGATGTCGGTCGGGGGCGGGGAATATTTTCTTGTTTTGCGGCCTGGCGCGGTGCTGAATATATCGCTCCGCTACATCCGCCCCCGATTTTTCCATTTTAGTGTCGATGCTAACGATAACACAGGGGGGGTCCTCAATCGCTTCATGAGGTTACCTGTCCCCCTGCCCGCTGTCCGCGCGGTGCTCCGTCCTTTCCTCCTCCATAGGTTGGGCCCCTCGCTGAAGGCAGTGGTCTCGTCAGAAAATCTGACTGTAGATTTCACTCCAGGTCGGGCCCCTCGGCGAAGGCGGTGGTCTTGTGGGAAAGGTGGAATATGTACATTACTTTGGGGCAGGTAGCCATAGTTTCTCTAGTTAGGCACTGCGTAGTTTTGTGCAATTCTCCCTCCTTCCTCTCCTCTCCTCCTCCTCTCTCCTCCTCCTCCTCCCACTTTTTTCTCCTCCTCTCCTCCTCTCCTCATCCTCTCTCCGCTCCTCCTTTGCTCCTCCTCATCCTCCTCCTTTCCCCCCTCCTCATCCCCCCTCCTCCCTCGCCTCCTCCTCCTCCTCCCCCTCCTCTCCTCCCCCTCCTCCTCCGCTCCCGCGCCTCCTCCTCCTCCTCTCGTCTCGTCCTCCTCCTTCCTCCTACTCTCCTCCTCCTCCTGCTCCTGCTCCTACTCCCCTCACTCCTGTCTCCTCATCTCCTCCTCTCCTATTGCTCTCTCCTCTCCTCTCCTCCTCCTCGTCCTCCTCCTCCTCCTCCTCCCCCTCCTCCTCCTCGGCGTACACGCCTGGCCCCAGTGGGCATCCGCCAGAACATTGGGCGGGCGTCGGGGCCGAACCTGCAGGCGGGGGAAAGGACCCTGCCTCGGTCGGAGGCCACGCGGGGTCTTCCAGAGGCACCCAGAGGAAGAGGAGGACGGGGAGGAGATGGGGAGGAGGAGGAGCAGGAGGAGGAGAAGTAGGAGGAGGAGGATGAGGCGGAGGACAAGGACAAGGACAAGGACGAGGAGAGGAAGGAGGAGAACGAGGAGGAGAAGGAGGAGGAGGAGGAGGCGGATCAGGGGAGGAGGACGAGGAGGATGAGGAGGATGAGGAGGAGGAGAAGGAGGAGGAGGAGGAGGAGGAGGAGACGGAACAGGGGAGGAGGACGAGGAGGAGGAGTAGAAGGAGGAGGCGGAGGCGGCGGAACAGGGGAGGAGGAAGAAGACGACGGGGAGAGGGGAGGGGTCCCTCTTGCAGTTCTTCCTCCTGTGCTAATCCACTCTGGCCGTAGATGATGTCCGTTGTTTGTTCGGCGATTGCTCAGCCCACCACAACTGTGGACGCTAATCTCCCGATTTTGGCCTCGCGCAGGTTCATCTTGGCTGCGGGTCAGGGCTGTCCACAAGCTCCTACCGACCCTTGGGGAATGTGGCTTCGCAGGAGCTCGACGGGCAGGGCTCGCCGATTGCAGTACTGCCCCACCTCTTTCCTCGCCGCATCGCTTCGCTTGGGCCACATACTTTCCGCCCTCATAGTGACATATAGACACAGTGACGAGGAGGTTGGGCAGGCGGCGGGAGGAACGAGGAGGAGGAGCTTCATCGGGGGTCCGTCGCAATGGCCTCTCCTCGCCCAGGGTGTCGGCGCCAGTGCCCTATTCGCAGTACCTGAGCAGAACAGTGCAGGGGCTTAGCTGCCCCGGCATGCCCGTGTTGAAACGCAGTGCTTGCTTGCTGTATCCAAGACGTCCGTATCAACACGCTGCGTGTTGGCCCGCCACGTGTTGATCCACGCTTCGGCGAACGTGCCGCGCCACGCCTGCGTGTTCAATCTGTGTGTGAGCCCCGTGTGAACACGCTACGTGTTGCGTGGTGCGTATTGGGGCAGCTAAGACGAGGAGCCGGCGGCGCTGGGGGGGGGGAACTGAGAAGGGGCGGGCTTTCTCAGAAGGCTCGGACGTTCCTCGGCCTTCTGAGAAATGTTCAAAGCCGTCCCCGAAGACGCGGGGAAAGCTTCTCAGAAGGCGCGAGGGCTTCGAGAAGTCCCGTGCCCTTCTCCTCACTTCCCCCCCCCTCTCCTCCTCCTCCTCCTCCTCCTCCTCCTCCTCCTCCTCCTCCTCCTCCTCCTCCTCCTCCTCCTCCTCCTCCTCGCTCGTCGCCGAGGGAGGTTCGAGGAGGAGGCCAGCCGCGCCAGGACTCGGCCCCCGCCGCGTCTCGGCCGCGCCCGCACCCGGTCGTCGTCGTCGTCGTCGTCGTCGTCGTCGTCGTCGTCGTCGTCGTCGTTGTCGTCATCGTCGTCGTTGTCGTCATCGTCGTCGTCGTCGTCGTCGGTGGCTCGGGATGTCTTCGGGGGGCCCTCGTCTCCCTGGCGCCCAGAGGCGCGGGTCGACGCCTTCTTCGTGCAGTTCTACGGCGGGGAGACGGCCGCGCCCCCCTTCCTCCGTTTCCTCCTCCTCCTCGTCCTCCTCCTCATCCTTCTCCTTCTCCTCCTCCTCCTCCTCCTCCTCCTCCTTCTCCCTCTCCTCCTCCTCCTCTTCCTCCTCTTCCTCCTCTTCTTCCTTGTTCTCATCCTCCTCCTTTCTTCCTCCGCGTCCTCCTCCTCCTCCTCATCCTCCTCCTCCTCCACCTCCTCTTCCTGCTCGTTCTCCTCCTCCTCCTTCTCCTCCTCCTCCTCCTCCTCCTCCTCCTCCTCCTGCGCGCCCAGTCGCAGCCAGGCCCCTGAGCTCAGCAGCGAGCCCGGGGGAAAGTGAGGAGTCCCGCCGCCTTCTGAGAACCCAGACATGATTGTGTCGTAAAGAATTCAGGACGGAGGTTTTTCTCCGTTTTCGGCCTCTGGAGTTCCTCGCTGGGCCTCCGGACTGTCAACAAACGACTCAAGATGAAAAACCAGTCTTGGAGAGAGGGTCGCGACTTCTGGGGACCGCGTCTTGAAGAAATCAAGATGTCGTATGTTTGGGAAGGTTTTCTCCTTCCCACTTCCCCTCTCGCCTGCACTCCCCCAGAAGCGCGCTCAGTCGCAGCCAAGCCTGAGCACCAGGAGGCAGGACGACTCCACGACTCCGATGCAGTCCGATTCCAGATCCAGCAGCCCACCTTGCAGACGGGCCGGCCGGGGAAAGACCGCACCGTCTGAGGCCTGGGACCATCCCTTCCTCCCCCCCCTCCCCGCCCCCTCCCTGTCCTCCCCGGCGGCTCCCGCGCCGCGCCTCTCCTCCCTTCCCCCCAGGCCTGGTCGCTGGGCGACCCGGACGCCCTCAGGCCGCCCTCCGGCGGCGGCGACCCCGCCGCGGTGCCGGAGGCCCCGCGGCCTCGTCGCCGCCGCGGCCGTCGTCGGCGGCAAGGGGCCCGGGCCTCTCGAGTCGCGCACGAGTCACGGCGGCAGGCTCTGTTTGATCTGCGTGCGCTTTCGGCCTCCTGGGGCCCCCGCGGGGCCCCGCGGAGCTGTCCACAAGGGCGTGGCAGACCGGCCCGGGGGAAGGGGTCTGGGCCTGCGGTGGGTTTCGCGTGACAAAATCACGACGTCGGGGGCTCGTGGAGGAGCGGCGGTGAGTATGTTGTGGTAACGAAACGTAAACCTCCAGCAGCCAAAGCATTCAGTCCATCAGTAAGCCGTGTGGCGCCTACATGAGCAACGAAAGGGAGCTAGCGGGAGCGGCCGTGCTCTCGCGCCGTGCCCTTGCAGACGCCAGCATGGCAGCAACCTCTGAAACACGGATCTGTCTTCGGACACGTGCATGCACAGCGTACAGTGCCGTGTTTTAGAATAAATGCTCCGCGTGCGGATCATGTGTTAAGAATGCAGGGATTTAGTATTAAAACGCAGCGAGGAGTGAGGCAACAATTCATAAGTTAGTCATGTTTTTTTAATCCTATATGTCTTCAAGTTGCTATGTCTTAGAAACTGCCCCGTACACGTTATATACACGTCGCGCGCCCACACCTGTTTGGGGCGGCCGCGCCAGCGGACTGACAGGGTATCTGAACGTTCCGCGCCCTTCGGGCTTCAAGAACAGTCGCGCACGGGGTGTCCGTCGCCCGAGGGCGCAGTCCTGCCCATCAGTGCCAGTTGTCGCTCCAGCAAGGTGTGGCCAAGCCAGCTGTGCCTCGCCTGGCCAAGCGCGGAAGCATTTGCCACGTGACTTATGAAAGCATGTGGAATATCTGCCACTTGTCGCAAGCAACGTGCTTGGAACGCGTCGAGTTTTGACAGTTCTGCTGCGTTCAACCAGGCAGTGTGGAGGCTGTGCAAAAGCTTTGAGATCACGCATGCGCTCAGAATATTCACTTCGTTCTTCGCGGCAAGATTGCTAGCAGACCATATGCGAGCGAGCTTGTCGAGCTCATACCTCGCCGCCCCAAGCCTTCTCGAAAGCTCAGCGTCGACGCTGCCGTTGGATAAGAGCACACTTCCCAGGTACAGGATGCTCTTCTTCTGGACAATCGGCTGGCCATCGGGCTTCGAGATAGACGCTTGGCGCCGCACCGGCAGCACTCACTCTCCCGCCAATTGTAGCACAGAGCGTAATTGGCGCTGGCATCCGAGATGGCCCGCATGTACTCGGCAGTTCTGCCCTCGTCCGCGGCCACAATCAGAGTAACGTCTGCGTAGACGAGGCCGTTGACATCGTCCGCGAGCGCCCCCGTTGCATGCTGCGTGTCGGTATGGGGGAGCGTCATGACCATGGCGAACAAGAGCGGGGAGAGAGGGCATCCCTGGCAGATTCCTGCCTTCTGCTCTCGCGAGGCAGATGTCTGCCCAGCGTCTCGCACAGCGAAGCGACGCTAGGTGTAGATCGCGCCCACGGCCCTCAGCATCTTGTTCGGCATCCCGTAGCGGCGCAAAGCTTGTAGTAGGACCGCGGGGTCGACGCTGTCGAAGGCTTTGGCCCTGTCGAGTGCGATGAAGACGAGGTGCGAATCCGTTGCGTCCCACGCATCGTCATGGAAGCGCCTCGCCATGAAGGTGGCGTCCGTGGTTCCGCTCTGTGATTTGAAACCAAATTGCGTCGGCCAGACGCGCGACTCGGCGCTGGCTGCCTGGCTGCCTGAGGGGGGCGCAATAAAATGGAGTCGTAGAGCTTGTAGCCAGCTTGCAAAAGACAAATTTGCGTGTACTTCTCACAGAGAGATTCGTCGCCCTTCTCTTAAAATTGCGACCACCAGTGATTCGTGCCAGGCGTCTGGGACCCCGCCCACCGTCCACCCAGCAATCAAATAACGCGCAACCATGGGTTGGCTCTTGAACGCAGGCATTGCCCTCATCAGGACACACCGCTGCGCTGCCTCCACGTTGCGGGAAGTTGATGGCCAATTCAGACACTCAGACCGAGCGTTGGAACAGGTTGGAACAGGGGTCCGAGCAGGCGTCGGAGAGGAGAACGGGATTGCAGAATATAAAACGAGCTCGTGGGGGACACCAGTATCGCAAACATAGCAGCTGGCGTCGGAAATGGCGTTCAGGAGACCTGAAATGCCGAAATGTCGACGCGCACAGAGGCAATTGCGCCGCATGCAACTGCCGTCCAGCCCAGTCGGTAGCGTAGTCGGTATGCAAGTGGAGGTAGAACCGCACAACGCGTTGAAGACTCATGAGCAAAGTTGGAGCCATCCAGCGTCATTTGCGAAGGGGATCGAACGAGCACGAGCATGTACGTACGACCAGATCATTGCCCTGACGGTCGTTGCAACGAAACGCAAAGCTGCAACAACCAAGTAGTACGAAACGCCAACATTTACAGCATAAATGGTATAACCCTCATCAGAACGCACCGCTGCAAGGAGGACGGACGGGAGGGCGGAATGGGGCGGGGGAGGAAGAGGAGGGGGAGGAGGAGGGGGGCGGGAGGGAGGACGGGAAGACAGGGTGAGGAGGGCAGGAGGAGGAAGTGGATGATGATGATGGTGATGATGATGATGATGCTGATGATGATGATGATGATGGTGGTGATGATGATGATGATGATGGTGATGGTGATGGTGATGGTGATGGTGATGGCGATGGTGGTGATGATGGTGATGGTGATGATGGTGAGGATGGTGACGATGATGATGCTGATGCTGATGCTGATGCTGCTGATGATGATGCTGATAATGATGTTGCCGATGATGGTGGTGCTGATGCTGATGCTGCTGATGATGATGATGATGAGGATGAGGATGAGGATGAGGATGATGATGATGATGATGATGATGATGATGATGATGATGATGATGATGATGATGATGATGATGATGATGATGATGATGATGATGATGCGAATAGGAAAAGGATTGTAGGGGAAGGGGGGAGGGGGACGAGAGGAGGGAGTGGAGGAGGAGGAGGAGGAGGAGGAGGAGCGAGGATGACAGTGACGATGGTGATGATAAGGATTAGGGGGGTGAAAATAGAATAGTGATGGGGATGGGGATGACGAGGGTGAGGGTGAGGGTGAGGGTGAGCCATGCGTGGACTAGTTGTGCTCTGCACACGGGAGCATCCATGGACACAGCCCGCGTGGTTGGTGGGTGCATTTCGGCTACGCCCAGCCTGTCCCAGCCCTGATGTAGAGGAGTGCTGCAATCCGAACTGCAGCTGATGACGCTGGGCCCCAGCTTCGCGCCAGCCTGCCGCGCATGCCTGCGCCCCCCCCCCCACACACACACACACACACACAACACACACACACACACACACACACACACACACACACACACCACACACACACACACACACACACACACACACACACACACACACACACACACACACACACACACACACACACACACACACATACACACGAGCAGATCCCATCGCTAAAACTGATGTCATGGCCATGGCTCGTTTGTGACCCTTACGCTGGGTCAGAAGGTGCTCTCATCTCAGCTTTGTAGTTGATGATCGCCCCTGCCGCCGCGGCTCCCGCACCACGGCCGCGTTTTCACCGTGCCAGCACTCTTTCGCCGTGGCTCGAGCACTCCTGCGCCTCTTTCGCATGAACCGACCCCTGCGCTGCAGCTGATCGCTTGCGTCGTACGCGCCTGCCTTGGAAGGTGCGTCCTTCGCGCACGAGCTGATCCCCGCACTGCAGCTGAGGATATATAGAGCCTGCGCGCCTTTCCTGGTGCCACTGCCAGCCCTTCTCGCAAGCCCTTGCCCTGGAGCTGCAGCTGTAGCTGATGGCGGTGATTTCACCTTCGTTTCCCCCCCCCCCCTTGGCTCCACTGCACTCCTGTCTCGCTGTCCACTCTGGTCCCCGCCTTGTGGCAGGGGTCGTAAGGCGGGCCTGGCGCTGTGGCAAGTTGCATGCTGTCAATGCCTACCATTCTCGCGCGCCGTGGCTTGGGCGCTCTAGCTGATGCCTCTGGGCGCATCTTCCTCCCGTCGCTCTGCCGCCACTGCACCTCGTGCTGCAGTCCACCCTGTTCCCTGCCTTTCGGCTGGGGTCCTGGGGCGGGTCTTGCCAGCCTTCGCCGCGCGCATTCTCACACGAGCCGGTCCCTTCGACACTTGCTCTGCCGCTCTCGCATATTGTGGCCCAGTTGCTGTACTTGATGACGTTGGGCTCTCTCCCCCTCCACCCTCCCTCCCTCCCTCCCACCCCCCCTCCCTCCCCCCCTCCCTCCCTCCCTCCCTCCCCTCCCTCCCTCCGCCTGTGACTGCTGCTCGCGTTCGCCGCCACGGCGAGCTGTCTCGCCCGCGGCGTGCGCTGCTTGTTGCCGCTGCTCGCCGTCCGCGCATTCCGTGGCCCGAGCGTTGTCGCTGGAAGGTTTCTGCCGCAGCCTGCCTGTGGCGCCCGCCGTGGCCCGCAGCGGCTGGCGCGCGGTCGAACATGGCACACGCCCGTCGCCGGTGCCCGCCTCTCGGCAGCTGTCCGAGCGCGCTGTTGCGCTGTGGTGTGCGACCGTTTGCTTCTCCATGCGGAGATCACGTCACTATGAGGGGGGGGGGGCCTGCACCGTGAAGTAGATGGAGGCTCCTGGGGCCTGGAGTGCGAAGTGGAGGGGGGGTGCGCTCGTGGTGGCGGGGTGCGCGCGAGAAGCGGGAGGGGGGGTGGAGCGGAGAGCAAGGCGAGGACGAGGAAGAGGAAGGGGGGTCCTGTTAGGGAAAGCCTTTCTCCTACTCCAGTTCCTCCTTACTCCCAGTCGTCGTGCTTCTCCCCCTCCTTCACCCTCATCATTATCCTGCCCCCTCGGTTCATCGTTTGCCCTAATCCTTACATTCCTCCTCCTGCACCGCTCGCTCCTCCCTTCTCGTCCTCCTCCGCGTTTCCTGCTTCTCCTCGTGCTCCTCCTCACGCCTCCTCCTCCTCCTCCTCCTCCTCCTCCTCCTCTTCCTCCTCCTCCTCCTCCTCCTCCTCCTCCTCCTCCTCCTCCTCCTCCTCCTCCCCCTCCTCCTCCTCCGCAGCCTTCGGGCTCCAGCCATTCCGGCTCGAGCCGCCCCGGCGCAGGGCGGTCTGCGCGACCCCCTCGGCCCGGCGTTTCCCCCGGCCCGCTCCGCGGGCCCGGCCTGCCCTCGCCTCGCCGCGGCCCGCCGCGGCCGCTCCTCCCCGGGCCCCGCTCTCCGGCCACGGCTCGAGCGGCGTCGCCGTCGTCGCCGCCCGCGTGCGAGGGCCCCGCGGGCCGCGCTGCCGCCCCGCAGGTGCACTTCGGCGGCAGCAGCGTGCTCGCGTCCCAGATGTCGAGCCTCCAGGATCTCGCTCGCCAGGGGTTCACCACGCACGCAGCAGAGTTTGAATCGCTCCGGGGTCGGATGGCCGACTGCCAGAAGAGCTCGGGAGCCAGGCGCGCGCGGACGCGCAACTTGACGCTCGTGCTGTTCGAGTGACTGACCCTTCAGGGAAGGAATGGTGATCTCATGATTCTGAATGTTCGTATGCCTAACCCCTCAGCCTGTCGGGATGCATCGCATGTACCCAGGGCTGGTTCAGGCGATTCTTCCTTCTGCGGCCCATGCGATGCGCGTGATAGCAGGAGGTTGGAATTCGATGGGGGTGGAGGAGGGCAGATTTAAGACGGACGGGGGGGGCTCAGGAGAGAGGCAGCAAACATATGCTATCGCGTCAGACTGCAGCTCGTGGGCTGAGTTGTATCGGCCAGTTCCCTCGCGGACGGATGTTTTTGCTGGCGCAGTGCGCGGACTTGCTCGTCTGGGTCGCATATACGCCTCTCTCTCTCTTTTTTGTTTTGTTTTTTTTCTCTCTCTCTCTCTCTCTCTCTCTCTCTCTTTCTTTTTTTAATTCTCAGTATCATTATCATTCCTTGTCGCATTAGTCTTATCATTATCATCCCTTCTCTCTCTCTCCCTCTCTCTCTGTTTCCTTCTCTCTCTATCTATACATAGGTGTGTATATATATGTATATATATATATATATATATATATATATATATATATATATGTCAGTGTCTCCTTCTCTCTCTCTCATTCTCTCTCTCTCTCTCTTGTTTGTTTTTTTGTCTCTCTCTCTCTCTTTCTCTCTCTTTTGCGCGAATGATCTCCTGGCCACAGCCAGTACAAGTGGTCACGCTGTCGCGAATTGAGCGCCCTCAGACCACATCCCTGTCATTGCCGCCGGTTCGACCAGCATGGCGCGGATTCAACGCCTGCGACGGGGTTGGGCCAGGAAGCGTAGGCGTTGCGGTCTGCCTGGGATTTTGGACCCGGACGGCAACGTCTGCCCGTCCCCCGATGCGTCGGCCGACGCATGCAAAGCTCATTGGGCGCAAGTTTTCGCGCGTCTGGAACCCGTTTGCTCTGTTTTTTTTGCTGCTTTGAGATAATGGGTCACGCGCGACTCGCGCAGGTCGAGCCCGCCCTATGGCGTTCGGATGTTGAATCGTTTGTTGAAACGGCTTGCCATAAGCACCGCTCTGCCCCGGGCCAGGGCGGCATCCCGCATGGGCGTTGGAAGGCGAGCGGAGCAGCATACATTCGCTTTCATATGTGCATATATATATATATATATATATATATATATACATCGATTATGAGACGCTTGATATGTTTGGAGGGCGGTATCTGCCCGCGTGAGAAGGGGTTGCGTGCGTTTCCTGCCAGATAACTCTTCGGGGGGACGAGAGCCCTAGTGAGCTGGCGCGCGCCGCTGGCAAGTCCCGCCCCCTGATCCTGGCAAGCACCGTGCCAGCGTAGCATTGCGATGCATTCCGATTTCCCCGACCAATCGCAGCAGAGCAATCGTGGGCCCCCATGGGGTCATCTTTACAGACGATGCCACAACGAGGCGCGGCCGTGACATGTTGCCTCAGGCCTCGAGCTACATGGTGTTTGGGTGATTTCGTGGGCCGTTGTCAGTTTGCTTACGTTTCGCAGCAAAGCCAGAGCGAAGACAGGGCGAAAAGGAAACGACAACGAAAAACACTGTTTAGCTCGAGCCCTTTGCTGCCTTTCGCGTTGGGGATGCTCCTTGGGGTCAACTCGGGTGCTTCTTAGGGGCATTTTAGGGACCCTGGCCATGTCTCGGCTGCCCTCCCCCGTCCTCTTTCCCGCGTTGCCTTTCCCTCTCTGGCGCTCTGCTTCCGAGCCTCCCTCTCCCGTCGGGGCACAGAGGCCGTCACCCCCGCCCACGCGGGGCAGAGCACGCCCCACCTGGACACACACACAGACACACACACACACACACACACACACACACACACACACACACACACATATACACACACATACACACATACACACGTACACACACAGTTTTCGTCGCCCTTCCTCCTCCTCGTCGTCCTCCTCCTCCCCCCTCCTCCTCCTCCCCTCCCCTCCTCCCCTCCTCCCCTCCTCCCCTCCTCCTCCTCCCCTCCTCCGTCTCCCGTCTCCTCCTCCTCCTCCTTCCTCCTCCTCCTCCTCCTCCTCCTCCTCCTCCTCCTCCTCCTCCTCCTTCCGTCCCCCCCCCCTCCCTCTCCCCCTCCGCCGCCCAGGCCAAGCGGCGGCGGACGGATGCCGGCGAAGACGGCGCGGTCGCCGAGCCCGGCGGGGACGCCGGGGAAGGCTCTTCGGACGGCGAGGACATCGAGGCCACCCTGGGTGGGGGGGAGAAGGAAAATAGGAGGCAGGGCGGATATGAGAGGATGCAGAGAAGAAAGGAGGGAGGGAGGGAGGGAGGGAGGGAGGGAGGGAGAAAGGAAGGAGGAGGAGGACGAGGAGGAGGAGTGAGGAGGAGAGAGGAGGAGGAGAAGAGGAGGAGGAGGGAGATGAGGACCAGGGAGGAGGCGGAGGAGGAGAGGAGGAGGAGGAGGAGAGGAGGAGAGGAGGAGGAGGAGGGAGCAGGATGAGGAGAAAGAGGAGGAGGTGAAGGAGGAGGAGGAGGAGGAGGAGGAGGAGGAGGAGCAGCAGCAGGAGGAGGAGGAGGAGCAGATTCAGAAGGAAGAGGAGCAGGGAGGAGGGAGGAGGGAGGAGGCACCATGGAAATGGGGGAGGGGACGCAGGAGGAGGGAGGAATGGGGAGGAGTGAAGAGGGGAGAAGGAGGAGGAAGGGGTAAGAGGGGGGAACATCAAGGGGAGGAGAAGGAGGAGGAGTGAAAAGAGAACATCGATGCGTTAGATGTCCGCCTCCAGGGCCGAAGCTTGAGGGTCCAAGTGTTTTTCTCGTGCGCTCTTGTTGTTTCTCGGGCCTCTCGGGTCCTGTCGATATCTTCCAGACTCCTCCTCCTCCTCCTTCTCCTCCTCCTTTTCCTCCTCCTGTCGTTTCGAGGGTGTCTTCAGATCAGCTTCGAAGACACGCCCCTTGAGGAGTTAGTAGCAGCAGTGGTAGTCCTCCTCCCCCTCCTCCTCCTCCTCTCCTCCTCCTCCTCCTCCTCCTCCTCCTCCTCCTCCCTTCTCCTCCTCCTCCTCCTCCTCCTCCTCCTCCTCCTCCTCCTCCTCCTCCCTGCTCCTCCTCCTCCTCCTCCTCCTCCTCCTCCTCCTCCTCCTCCTCCTCCACCCCTCTCTCTCTCTCCCTCCCTCCCTCCCACCCCCTCGCCGCCCCCGCTCCGGCGCCCACAGCGCCCCGCCCCCCAGGCGCTCCTCGGCCGCTGGCAGGCCGTGCCGGGCGCCGGCGTGGCGCCGTGAGCGCTCCGCGCGGCCGTCTGCTGCATCCCGACGCCGACGACGACGGCGAGGACGACGAGGGCGACGACGACGACGACGACGAAGACGACGACGACGACGACGACGACAACGACGACGAGGACGTTTACGACGACGACGACGAGGACGACGACGACGAGGACGACGACGACGAGGACGACGATGACGAAGACGACTACGACGACGATTACGACCACGACGGCGACGAGGAGGAGGAGGAGGAGGAGGAGGAGGACGGCGACGACGAGAAAGCCGACGACGAGGAGTACGGCGACGACGACGCGGAGGACGACGATGACGAAGACGACAACGACGACACCGACGACGACGACGACGACGACGGCGACGACGCCGCCGACGACGACGACGCCGACGACCCCTGCTGCCCCTTCTCCCCCCTCTTCATCGTTAGACCAACTTCAGCTGCGGGTGCTGTAGCGTTTCTCCCTCTTCATCCTCCCTCTCCTTCACCCTCGTGCGTGCTTCCTCCCCCTCGCTCCTCCTCGCTCCTCCTCGCTCCGCCCCATCCTCGGGCCATGAAGAGTCACGACGTGGAGTTGCTCGCCAGGTTCGGACTCTCGGGGCCCTTGCCGGGCCCTGGGGGCCGTCAGAAGGCAGCGTGGCATGAGAGGCCGGTCTGGTGGAAGCGGTCGAGGCTTTCCCTGAGGTTCGACGTCTCGAAAAGATTGGAACCTCGTGGAAAACCACGACCGAAGCTCCGGACCCCATCTTTCTGCGTCCGTTTTCGAGGTGGATCGATCCGTGAGGATCCTGGGGTCCGGCGCTGGGCGAACACGCCCGGCTCGAAGAAATGGAGTCGCCAGGATCCCAGGGGATCGGGGGGTCGTCGCCGCGAAGAAAAAAAAATCACGACGTCGGGGGTGGGGGGCCCCCGCGCAGCCAGCCCGGGGGCCCGGGCGCGATCCCCGGCAGCGCGCCCCCCAGTAGTTGCAGTGGAGGCCCATGCCAAGACACACCCTGCTTGCCTCAAGGTCGAGCAGTGGTGAAGCGTCCTGGCTCGCCTATAGCCCTACCAAACAATGTTCTAGGAACCTTTTGTGGATTCCACGAGATGTTCTTGGAACACTTCTGGCCGGGACTGTCTTGTTTTAGCACACTGGTCTCATTGTTTTTGTTCTTGAACATTTTGGGGTTCTACGAACATTTCGTGGTATGATTATAGGAATGCCGGGACGGTCGGTCCCTGCTCAACAAGGGTGCCCTGGTTTTCTTGGGTCTCGAGGGCTTTTCCATGGAAGGCGTGGCGCTGCTTGCCTCCAGGGTGCCCTGGTTTTCTTGGGTCTCGATGGCTTTTCTGTGGACAGCGTGACGCCCCCACGTCAAAAATCCAAGGGACGTCCTGGGTTCTCAGGGCCCCAGACATGCGACGTCCTGATTTGTTTTCAGGACGGCGCAGCCGGAAGTCCAGACCCTTGCCCCGGGGCCGGTTTTTCATCCCGAGTCGTTTTGTGACGGTCCCGGGGCCCGGCGAGGGCCTTCAGAGGCCGAAATCGGCGAAACACCTGCGCCCTGCTTTTTTTTACGACGTGATCATGTCCGGGGCTGAAATCTAACGGACGTCCTGGGGCCTCAGGGCTAGGTTTCTTGTGGAAGGCTTCTTGTGGATTGGCCTCTGGAGGCCTCCGGAGGCCTCCTCCTCCTCCTCCTCCTCCTCCCCCTCCTCCCTCCTCCTCTCCTCTTCCTCCTCCGCCTCCTTCCTCCTCCTCCTCCTCCTCCTCCTCCCCCCCCTCCACCCCCCCTCCTCCCCCTCCTCCCCCCCCCCCCTCCTGTGTGTCCTCCTGTGCCAGAGCCCCAGCGCCCGCCCCGCCTCTATGGGCCAGCCCGCCCCTCCCAGAGGGCCGCGGCCGCGTGCGGCCTGCGCGCTCGCGGGGGGCTCGCGGGGCCGGGCGCTGGCCGCTCCGGCGGGGCCGTGCGCCCCCAGACGCGATCGCGCCGCAAAAGAGATCGGGGCGGAGGGTCGATCTTCCCCTCCCAGACAGGACCGCGTCGTAAAAGGAAAATCCAGGAGGGAGGTGTTTTTCGCCATTTGAGGCCTCCAGAGGGCCTCGCCGGGCCCTGGGACCGTCAAGAAACCACTCGGGATGAAAAGCCGGCCTGCAGGGAAAGGGTCTGGACTTCCAAGGGACGCCGTCGTGAACAAAAAGCAGGACGTCGCATGTCTGGGTCGAGAGCCTGGCGACTCCACTCTTGCGCGCCCGGCGCTCTGGCCCAGCGCTGGGCCCCAGGGCCCTCACCGACTGATCCAGCTCGACATGCTGGCGCAGAAGGATGGGGTCTGGGGGCCCCGGTCGTGCTTCTGCACGGGGTTCCAATGTTTTCGAGACGTCGGATCTCAGGGTTCGCCGTTGGCGGCCTCCAGAGGCCCTCGCCGGGCTCCAGGGTCGTCAAAATCAAGCAGTGGCGAATCGTCCTGGCGTGCCTATAGCCCTACCAAACAATGTTCTAAGAACCTCTTCTGGTTTCCGACGAAATGTTCTTAGAACATGTCTGACGGAGTCTGTCTCGTTTTATCACATTGGGTTTATGTTCTCAGAACACTGTTTTTGTTGTTCGAATTTTTTGGGGTTCTAAGAGAATTTCGTGGTAGGACTACAGGAATGCCGGGACGGTCGGTCCCTGCTCAACAAAAGGCGAGAGCCGGTTCCAGGGAAAGGTCGGGTATAGCCAGGACCCCAGGTAAGGGGACCTGGTCCTAGTAGTAGGGCCTCGGAGCCCCTGAATTTGACAGAATCACTAAACCAGGTCTGTCGTAGCTGGTGTTCTCCCGGGTGATGGCAGCTCCGGTCAGTGGAACGGGGCGGGGGGGGGGGCTTCCCCCAGTACGCATCACTAAACCAGGCCCCACTAAGTCCAGCTCTGCCATCGCCCGAACAGGGCCGGGACTTCCGGGGGCCGCGCATTGCAGAAGTCACGACGTCGCCATCGCCCGAAAAGGGCCGGGACTTCCGGGGGCCGCGCATTGCAGAAGTCACGACGTCGCATGTCTTGGTGAGGCTTGTCGCGCGCGGCGCGCGGCGCCCTTGCTCCCGCTTGCCGAGGGGTGGCCCAGCGGCCGCGCCTCAAGTTCAGCGCCCGCGCGTGGCGTCGGCCGGGCGTGAATCTCGCGCTCCCTCCCGCCCTCCCCGCCTCAGCCCTCCTCCCCCCCGCCCCTGGCTGGCCCCCCCCCCGCCTCCTCCTTTCTTCCTCTCCCCCTCGCTTCATTCCTTCCGCCCGCCCCTCCATCGCCACGGCGCTGCGCGCGTTCCGTCATCGCGGCTGCTGTTTCCATGCCACCGTTCAGGGGGGGAAAAAGCACACAGACACGAGTAATCGTCGATCCCCTGGAAGATCTGGGAAAATATGGGAAGTGGGGGGGAAGACAGAAAGCGAGAAAATACAGGAAAAGTATGGGGAGTCCTGTTGCTTGTGTGCATTGATTTGCGTGTGTGTCCCAGGGCCCCTTCACTTGTCGCCGCCCGCGCCGCACCTCCTGCCCCTCGACCCCCACGGGGCCCTGCAGGGCAGCCTGACCCCCGCGCGGGGGTGGCAGCCCGAGGGGCCGGTCCAGGCGCCCCGTCCTCTCCCCGCCGTCGACGTCGCATGCCTGACAGGATCGTGGATCTCCCTCGATGGCATTCGGTGGAGGAGCAGGCAGCAAGGGCGCCCCCGAGGGCGCGAAGTGCTTCGCGCGTCGCGCTTCTCGGTTGGGCTCCTCCGATGCCTCCTCATCCTCCGCTTCTCCCCTGGGAGGCGGCGCGAGAGCGCGAAGTTATTCGCACTTCGCGCTTCGCGCAGCGCGCAGCGCGCAGCGCGAAGTTGGGAGCCCTTGGGGTGCCCATGCCGCTGTTCTCGTATCGTTTTCCCCTTTTTGGGCCTCCTCGGAGGCCCTCGTCGCCACCGCTGGATTCGCCCCGGAATTCTGGTCAGAACGCACCCCGGGAGGGGTCCGGGGAGTAGAGGTATCGGCACCCCACGGATATGACGTGGGCGCCCGCTGTGCAGTTTGTCGACGTGGCCACGGCCAGATCATCCAGTCTGACCGCCCGGCCGAGGTGACGAGCGCGGGCGCGCGCCCGAGCTTGTACCAGATCTGCGCCTCCCTGATTTGGGCATTGCGTGTGGTTGCTGCGTTTGGGGGTTCGGGAGCGTCGTCTTAAGTCGGGCCCGTCCCTCTACAGGAGGAACATCCAAAAATTGTAAAGCAAATCGTATGGGGACGATTTTCCTAGTAGTTTTGAACATTGTTGGTGTTTTTTCGTGGCTATTTTTTTTGGTCGTTCAGAATCCCCCTGATGGAGGACAGGCCCGACTCAAGCGTCGTCCTGCTCCTGAGGGAGCCGTGGTTCAAAGCCATGCCGCGCGGCTGATCTCGGGCCTGGTCGCAGAGTTCTCCGTGAAGAGGCTCGTGGCTGCCACGGGCTGCGCGGCAGACGCCGCCGTGACCATGGCCACGCCGACGGGGCAGGCAACGCTGGGCACAGTGCCGTGTTTAATACATGCTCCGCGTGCGGATCATGCATTACACATGCAGGGATTTTGTATCAAGAACAACGATGAATTCATGCATAGATTTATTCGTAAATGAATCATGCATTGGGAATCCTATATTTTCTAAACCCCATGTATAAAAACAAAAAAAAACTGCCCCGTACGGAGCGCGTGCGTCAACAAGCTGTTGCAGCTCCACCTGGACTTATGATGTTCCAACCTACTTGAGCCTCGACCGCCAGGAAGCATTCCGAGCACCAGAATTGGACCGAAACTCGAAGGTGTTCACGTGTCGGGCCCTAGGAAACTTTCGTCCGACACTGTTTCGGCACTGCTTCGACACTTCCGGGTGCTCGAACTTATCGACGTCTTCGTGTTTTATTTCTAGATGGGCAATCCCGACGACTCCGCCGGCCCCGCAGTGGAGCATGCCTGTGGCTCGCAGATGGAGGTGATGGACGTCGCCCCACTGGCTC